ACCTGGGAGACAGGAGGAATCCCCAGCCGCCGCTCTAAGGGTGAGAGCAGGCTACTGGGCACGGGGTGCGTGTGCGCATGTGCGTGTGTGCGCGCGTCCATGCTGCAGCCCCAGGCTGGCTGCGGCCTCCTGCAGCTGTGGCATTAGGCCACTACGGCCCCGCTGTGCACTCTGGCCAGGTGGCCAGGAGGACGAGAAACTGATCTTCCTGTGGAGAGCACGGAGGTGAGGGAACTCACTGTCACGCAGGGAGCTGGAGGTGAGGGAACTCCCGGTCACCCAGGGAGCTGGAGGTGAGTACAAAGTCACCCAGGGAGCTGGAGGTGAGGGAACTCACGGTCACCCAGGGAGCTGGAGGTGAGGGAACTCATGGTCACCCAGGGAGCTGGAGGTGAGTACAAAGTCACCCAGGGAGCTGGAGGTGAGTACAAAGTCACCCAGGGAGCTGGAGGTGAGGGAACTCCCGGTCACCCAGGGAGCTGGAGGTGAGTACAAAGTCACCCAGGGAGCTGGAGGTGAGGGAACTCACGGTCACCCAGGGAGCTGGAGGTGAGGGAACTCATGGTCACCCAGGGAGCTGGAGGTGAGGGAACTCATGGTCACCCAGGGAGCTGGAGGTGAGGGAACTCACGGTCACCCAGGGAGCTGGAGGTGAGTACAAAGTCACCCAGGGAGCTGGAGGTGAGTACAAAGTCACCCAGGGAGCTGGAGGTGAGGGAACTCACGGTCACCCAGGGAGCTGGAGGTGAGGGAACTCACGGTCACCCAAGGAGCTGGAGGTGAGTACAAAGTCACCCAGGGAGCTGGAGGTGAGGGAACTCACGGTCACCCAGGGAGCTGGAGGTGAGGGAACTCACGGTCACCCAAGGAGCTGGAGGTGAGTACAAAGTCACCCAGGGAGCTGGAGGTGAGGGAACTCACGGTCACCCAGGGAGCTGGAGGTGAGCATAGACACCCAGGGAGCTGGAGGTGAGTGCAGTCATTGCTCTAACACACGGCTGTGTGCCAAGTGACATGGGTCACAAACACTTTCAAAGCAAATGAAAAGCACCTTGCGGCCTTTTGGGGAGTGAATCAGTGGATGGAAGGTTCTTTCTCTCTGTTGCTCTTTCAAATAAATGTAGTAACTTTAAAATTCATAATAAAGAGGCCGGCGCCGCGGCTCACTAGGCTAATCCTCCGCCTGCGGCCCCGGCACCCCGGGTTCTAGTCCCGGTCGGGGCGCCGGATTCTGTCCCGGTTGCCCCTCTTCCAGGCCAGCTCTCTGCTGTGGCCCAGGAGTGCAGAGGAGGATGGCCCAAGTGCTTGGGCCCTGCACCCCATGGAGACCAGGAGAAGCACCTGGCTCCTGGCTTTGGATCAGAGCAGTGCACCGGCCGCAGCGTGCCAGCCGCAGTGGCCGTTAGAGGGTGAACTAACGGCAAAGGAAGACCTTTCTCTCTGTCTCTCTCTCTCACTGTCCACTCTGCCTGTCAAAAAAAAATCATAATAAAGAATGAGTTCTCATTACAAAACATTCTGAGAGTGTTCCTCCCTCCTGCATGCCGTCAGTAGCCCGGGTCCTGCCCGCCATGCACCTATTCTCGGCCAGCCCTGCCCACGTGGCCTCGCTAATCACTCGGCCGTCTTGGATTTCCGGAGCTCCTCCTCTTCCCTGGCCACACCTTCCCCACCCGACCCACCCCCTCTGCCAGGTCTCCCTGCCCTCCTTGGCTTTCACTTGGCTTCGGGAGTTTCTGGGGCCCCCATAGTCCATTCTCCCCTCCCCTGCTCCACCCGCCCCCTCAGTGATGAGCGCTCTGCACCCACCTGGGAGCTGCTGAATGCCCTGCCTGCCCCAGGCTCGCCCAGGGCTCCCCGCGGCCCTCAGTGCTGAGCAGGGCGGGAAACGGTCACCTGAATTCCGACGGCCCAGTTGCTCAAAGTCCAGGAAGTAACCCTAAAGACCGGAGCTCACGTGAGCTTCCTTTGAGCGTGAGTGGCCTTGGCTTAGAGCCTGGTGCTGGTTAAGGGACACTCACGGTCCCTCTGGGCCATGGCGGACGTGCCACCACCCAGAGCCTTTGCTGTCCCTGCAGTGGGAGCAAAGTGGCCTGGGGCGCGAGCCTGCTGACCCCTCCCGTCCTGTGCTCCAGACCACACCTCTGCGGCTTGGACTCTCAGACGGCCCAAGGCTCTGCACGCGAATCTGAGCCATGGGCTGTGCGCGGGCGGCCCCGAGTCCACCTGGAAACGCGTCCCCAAGGGCTCTTCCTGGGAGACCGGTCAGTATTTCAGGTTATGAGCACTATTCATTATAAGCTTATGTCACAGACGTGCTGAGAACTCAATCCGCACAGAACTATCTACTGGAAACCAAAGGAGGGGCTGGCATGTCGGCAGCAGGTGAAGCCACCACCTGCAGTGCTGGCATCCCGTAAGGGCACCGGTTTGAGTCCCGGCTGCTCCTCTTCCTATCCAGCTCTGTGCTGTGGCCTGGGAAAGCAGTGGAAGATGGCCCAAGTGCTTGGGCCCTGCACCCACATGGGAGACCTGGAGGAAGCTCCAGTGATGACCGTCCTGCTGAGAGGTGGGCAGTTGTCCCCTTCCCTTGAAACCCTGCAGGCGTGGACCACGTAGCACTCATGCCGCGTAACCGGAGTTCAGATCATGAAAGGTGATACAGCTGCTGCCGCCCACCCCTTCTCAGGACACGCGGGCCCAGAACCCAGCCACCATGCTAGGAGGAAGCCCTGTGCTCATGCAGTGGCCATGCGAGGATTTGGCTAGCACCCCCCCAACCCCGGACCAGGCATCCCCTGTACCCACTGACCCCAAGTGCATGGGAAAGCCCCCGGCAGAACTGCCTCCCTGCAGCCCAGTCGGCCCAGGACCAGGAGAGCAAGCAGCTCAGGGCTGCTGTAAGTCTCTCAGTCCTGGGACGCCACCGGGCGGCAGGGAGGACCTGCGTGGAGAGCCGATGGTGCCAGAGGACAAATGAGCGCGGCGGATCCGTCTGGCTGCGTGCACGTGGCGAGCTTCCACACGCACGTGTAACATGCACATTAGATGCGTGACTACATCTGCCCCACTTAGTGCTCAGTGAGCTCTCGGAGACAGGTGGGTGTAGATGCTATGGAAATGCAGCACAGCGTGGGGGCCCAGGGAAGCAGGTATTATTAGCACGCTCACCTGGGAAACCTGCTGGCTGCTCTTCTCCCTCTTCGTGCGCTGAGTTTCTGTTGCTTTGGCGGCGGCACCGCTCCAGAAAGCACCGTGCCTGCGCGTGGAAATGCTGCCCTTAACAAAGCTGCCGAGACGTGCTGGGTCAGGGAGCAGCCCGGTGACACGGGTCAGGGTCCTCGGGGTCCAGGATGACGCAAAGCTGCCCCAGCGACGGTGTCAGGCCCTGGGACTTATGTTCTTCTGGATGGGTGGCACCTTGTTCTCAGGCCCCTGGTCCCTGACCAGGGTGGTCACAATTGCCCTCCTGCTGTCAGGGGCTTCCTGCACCCCTGGGGGCTGGATGCAGGCCGAGTGGGAGCCCGAGTGGGAAGTGAACACACACGAGGGTAAGCTTGCAAGCGTCCCAGTCCACCCACCTTCGAGCTGCAACTTGAACCCGCTTCGCTGGAGGCAAAGTTCGAGGTCAGTCTTCGAGGGGACTGAGGGGACCATCTTTCTGGGGGAGTGAGGCAGGACAGCGACTGGCAAGGAGGTGACCGCTGCTCTCGGCATACTCCCTACAGGTGGCTGCAGCTCCCTGGGGGTGCTGCCCGTGCGTGGGGACCCTCTGGTGTATGGGGGCGCGTCTGCTCCATCCTAACCCCACCCCCGCAAGGCTGCTCAATGTTGTTTTCAAGGGAATGCAAAGGAGACTATGTATTTCAAAAGCAAAGACACAGAGAGACAGACAGAGATATCTTTTATCTGCTGGTTCAGGGCTGCAACGGGGCAAAGCCAGGAGCCCAGAATGCAGTCCAGGACTCCCACATGGGTGGCTTTGTCTCAAGTGCTTGGCCCATCAGCAGGAAGTTGGAATGGGGAGAGGAGCCGTGACTTGACCCCGGCACTGCCATATGGGATACAGGCATCCCAAGAGCTGAGCCGGACGCCGGCCCTGACGGCTGAGGCCGCCGTCCCCGTCCCTGGCTCCCGCCTCTGCCCCCTAAAGCACTGTCTCTGGGCAAGCGGGAAACCCGCTGGTTCTGCCGCTGACAAGTGGCCTTCTCATGCTTCTGAGAGTGTCTAACGGACAATCTGGGAGGAGATGGCTCTGCCCCCCACCCCACAGGGCACTGTCCCACCTGGCCCTGACAATCTGGAGGAGATGCCCCCCCCGCCCCGCATTGTCCCACCTGGCCCTGACCACTGGCTGCTGGGAAGCCCCTCTTGTGGCCACCCTTCTCCTCTACCCAGCGTGCATGACCGTGTGTGGCTCGGGCCACGGAAGCACTGCTTCCTGTCCCTGCTGACCACGGCCCTGCCACCCGGGGGAGGACGAAGGGCAAGTCTGTTGCCGCCCAGGGGACCCTGACATCATGGCTTTGCTCACACAGGTCCCCGGCAAAGGGTTTGTGAGCATGGCAGGTGTGGAATCTGTTGGTGATGCTTGGTTAAAATACAAATTCTGAGTCCACTCCAGAGCTTTGAGTTAGTAGGCCCAAGGAGGGGACCCAGAGACCTGCATTTAACAGTATTTATTCATTTATTTTCATCTGATTGGAAAGGCAGAGAGACAGAGGTATCTTCCATCAGCTGATTCAGTCTCCAAATGTCTGCCACAGCCAGGGCTGGGGCAGGCTGAGGCCAGGAGCCTGAGACTCAATCGGGTCTCCCACACGCATGGCAGGGACCTAAGTACCTGAAGAATCACCTGCTGCTCCCTGGGGTGCACATGGCAGGCAGCAGAATCGGAAGTGCGGAGCCAGCACTCGGGGTGTTTTCTCCAACACGGAATGTGGGGATCTCAAGCTGTCTAAGCCACTGTGACACGTGCCCTCCCCCACACCTGCCTTTGTCACGAATTCCCCCTCTCCCATGCAGTCACCAACATCTGTGACCTGGGGGAGCCAGCCCTGAAAGCCCCAAAAACAAGGTTTGAGTTCTGGGAGTTACACCTGAACCAGGGCACCTGGGCAATCGCTAGCAGGGGCGTGGGGGAGGTGGAGGTGCAAAGTCCCCAGGAGCTGTAGAATACAGACCCCCCTGGGCGTAGGGTGGGCCTGGGGCGCCGTGGTTTCCTTGCTGCCTAGGACACCCACACTCCATGTTCAGGTGCCAGCTACTCCGCCTCTGGTCTGGCCTCCTGCTAATGCACACCCCGGGAGGCCGCAGATGACGGTTCAGGGACTTGGACGCCGCCACACACCTGGAAGAACTGGACTCGGTTCCCAGTACCTGAACCCCAGGGGTGTGGCACAGGGGCTAGGATTGCTCTTGGACACCCACATCCCAGTGCAAGGTGCCTGGGTGCAGCTCCCTGCTCTGCTTCCGACACAGCTTCCTGCTAAGACACAGCCGGGCGAGCAGCGGTGATGAGCTGAGAAGTTAGGTTCCTGTCACCCATGTGGGAGGTCCCATGTGAGCTCCTGGTTCCTGACGGGCCTGTCCCAGCCCTGGCCTGGTGGGCACTTGAGGAATGAACCAGCAGACAGGTCTCTCTCTCTCTCTCTCTCTCTCTCTCTCTCTCAATCTGCCTTTCAAATAAATAAAAGTTAAAGAATAATAATAAGAAGAAGAAGAAGAGGAGGAGGAGGAGGAGGAGGAGGAAGAGAACTAACTCTGGCTTTTCAACCCAGTGGGCTGTGAGCAGCTGCCCCCCAACCTTGAGCTTAGCACAGGACGAGCACCCCAGGGTCCCACAGGAGGGTCAGCCACGCACGCTTTGGAGAAGAGCAGAGTGCTTTTCATGGGATTCTTCCTCTTCTTATTTTCATAAACAGCTCTACGTTAATTGTCCGTTTGGGGAGTGAACCAGTGGATGAAGATCTCTCTCTCTCTCTCTCTCTCTCTCTGCCTCTGCCTCTTCTTCTCTGTAGCTCTGACTTTCAAATAAAAAAAATCAATCTAAAAAAATATGCCACTTGGCACACTGGCATCCCACAGTGGAGTGCCTGGGTTTGAGTCCCAGCTCTGTGTCAGAGTCTAGGTTCCTGCTAACGCACACTCTGGGAGGCAGCAGGTGGTGGTCCAAGACCTTGGGTCCCTGCCATCAAACAGGAGACCCAGATGGGGCTCTTGGCTCTCAGCTTCAGCCTGGCTCAGCCCTGGCTGTGCAAATATTTGGGAGAATGAATCCGTGTTGCTTTTCTTTCTGCTTTGCAAAACAATAGTGCTCATTATTTGATTTTTTTAAAGGCAAATGATCGAATCCCAACATTTCCCCGGATCTCTGCGGAGTAGTTGGCCAGAGCTGCTCCATGGAGTGGAGGCTGCTGAGGGCCAAGCACGAGGAGGAGGGGCTCACACGGGCCTCGGGCCATCATAGATGTTTCGCCAAGTTTCCACCTCTGTGCTGTATCGGTCAATTCCTGCTGAGTAGTCTTGAACTCGTCTTCGCTCTTTCCTGTGAAACTGGTCAGTGTGCATAATAAATCCAGTGTTGTTCTCATCTCACACACTGTCGTTTTCATCTTTGCAGAGTTGTTTATTTGAATCTTCCATGTGTGTTCCACGTCTCTAACAACATTTGTGCACATGGAGCACTGTTTTGACAAGGGTTTTCATGCCCTTGTCTGATTCTAGCATCTGTGTCGATCCTAGCTGATTTGATGTTTGCGGGCTTCTTTGCAGTCTGGACATTCGTGACTGGGTACTGGGCATTGTCCACTTCCTCCTGCTGCGCGCTGGTTACCCTGTGTTCCTGGAGTTGACTCACTGTCTTGTCCTTCCTGGGCTTGCTTTCATGACGCCAGGGGGCACACAGCAGCCTTCAGGCCAGGATTAAGTACTTGCCACTCCAGAACAGAGTCTTCCTGGGTGCTTCACCCGATGCCTCGCAGGATGAGTCTTCTCGTCTGGCTCTGGCACAGGTGCTGGCCCCGGCCCCGGGCACCCCAGTCCTTTCAGATGCTCTGTCTCCAGCTGTGGCTGCTCCCCGTGTGCGGGGAGACCACATCCCTCGGCACGCTTGAGGAGGGTCTTTGCACACCCTGGGTTCTGTCTGCATGGCTCCCGCCTCCTTGTCACTCTCAGAGTCCCAGCGCCCTGGTCTCCCGGGGGCCTGCCAGGTCCCGCCTCGGTGCCTGCTCTGTGTCCTGGGAGCCTCTGGGGAGGGGAGCCGCTGTGGCGTTCGCTGTTCTCAGGATGGTGGGGTTTGTTGTCTTCTGGCCCAGTTTAGCTGCGTTGCTTCAGGAGAAACATCTTGTTCGCAGTGAAAATTTCCATTTCATTTAAAAACTGAAAATACCTTTCCAAGGAGAAAATTAGTTCACATTATAAAAAATGAGAAAATAACAAAAAACATAAGGAAGAAGACAAAAACCCATTTCCAACACCATCGGGCATCCACGGGCAACGTCGGCGTCCGGCCTGTGTGCTGCCGTCTTTTCTCCTGTGCCCCGTCACAGAATCGTTCCGACGCCGCGGACGGTACGGCATCTTCACGTTCCCGGTGCCTCTGGCCTTCCTCGAGCGACGCCATCGGCTGGCGGTAGGATGGGGAAATCGGGCCTTTCCAGCCGCCTCCCCGCAGCTGCGCCTCCCCGTGCTTCTTACGTGGAAACATCCGGCTCCTCAGACCCCTGCCAGCTGCCTGTTCCCAGCTCCTGCCCCGGGGCAGGACTTCCAGTCCTCCTGGTGGCCAGGACGGAGGGCCGCTCTGGTCCACAGTTGTCCCCAGGATGTCCCCAGCTGCCACGGCAAAGCGTTGCCGTGAGCTGTGCCACGGACTGGTGGCTGCGGGGGCAGCTAGGAGAGGGGCCTGGGAGGCCGCACTGAGGACTTGGGCTTCATCGTAAGTGGCACGGGGGGCCCTGGAGGGTTTCCATGCAATGGCAGGAGGCAGATGCTGAATGAAACGGGTTCAAGAGCAAATGGGAAGAGAGGAGTTGGAGACAGCAGGCAGCGCTAGCTCGAGAGTATCGCCGTGAATGAGAGCCACGAGGGGTGACAGGTCAAGGTTTCAAATTTTTAGTTAATTAATTGATGGGTTTTGAAATGAGAGGCATGGAATACAGTCTGATAAAGAGGAAGGTTGATGGTGGTGGCTGAGAGATGGTGCAACGGGGGAGGCTAATGTGTAAGTGGGGTGTCGGCCTGGGGCACAGCCGGGGACCGCAGAGCCGGTGGCCAGGCGGGTGCAGTGAGAAGCCTGTCCCTCCCCAGTGGACGTCAGTGGGGAACAAGGACTTGGAACGGGTGGAGGAGTTGGCCTCAGGGAGAACGCAGTGGAACGCAGGAGTCTTGCAACCGCATCGAGTGATCTTAAGATGAGCACTCAGCCTTTAGTTTTCAATGTGCTTGCGTCCACATGGGAGGGCCGGGGTTCAGTCCCCAGCTCTGGCTCCTGTTCCGGGTCCCGGCTCCAGCTTCCTGCTAAGGCAGACCCTGGGATTGCACTCCTGGCGCTTAGCTCCAGCCTGGCTCTGGTCATTGCAGGCATTTGGGGGAGTGACCTAGATTCCATTCCTAGCTCTTAGCTCCAGCCTGATTGCCCTGATCCTAACCCTGACTCTGACCCTGACCCTGACCCTGACCCTAACCCTACCCTAACCCTAACCTTAACCCTAACCCTGGAGACACTTTCTGCTGCTTTCCCAGGTGCATTAGCAGGGAGCTGGATCAGAAGTGGAGCAGCTGGGACTCAAACCTGTGCCCATATGGGTTGCTGTTGCAGGCAGGGCTTAACCTGCTGAGCCACAACACTGGCCTCTCCCCTGCCATATAGCAAGTGGCTACCAGATTGGCCAGCGCAGGTTGAGGGAGTCACCATGGAAGGGAGGCCAAGGACGCCGTGGGAGGAGTAAGGTTGAGGAGCAGAGAGGACCTGCGTGAAGGCGGGAGTGACTCAGAGAGCGATCTCCCAGGACCGGGGCCGGGGCCTGTGTGAGCACAGGAACGCGGGCTGTGCAGCCCTCTGTTGCTGGCACTGTGGACACTGTGGTGAGATACACCAGCGTCTCCCAGCCTGACCACCTGCTGAGGAAGTCACGTCTGCACTGGCCACTTGGGTTTTGCTTTGCATTCCCACCCGCAGTGCAAGGACTTCCTTGTCTTCCCTCCCCCCAGGACACACCAGGGTGGGGGTCGTCTCTGCTCAGCTCAAGGAGGAGGCTCCCGGCGCCCCCTGGCTTGCTCACCTCCCTGGGGACTGATGTGGAGCCCTGCCCCTGCAAGCGTTGGGCCAGGCTGGGCCGCTAGCGCCACCGTGGGGCCTGCTTCCCCGCCGGCGGGGGGCCGGGCAGGCACCTGATGCCTGCTGAGTTGGACACCCCTTGCTGGCTTCCTTGCGGGTGACTTCCTCTGGGTCCCTCTTGAGCTGGAGTGCAGGGTGTGCTTTGTACAAAGACACTGACCTTCGCTTCTCATCCACCTCCCCGGCTGTGCTGTGTCTGCTACTTTTGGGGTACGGAGCACAGCTGTGACCCCAGCCCTGTGGCTCCCTAACGGCCTTACTTTGGGGCCCCTCTCCTGCCTACCGGAGCCTCTGGTTTTCATCTGAGGTTGGGGCGACGCAATGCCTGGCAGGCTTATTCTGGGGGTTTAATGCGTTAATACAGTGCTTACTAGCAGGCTGGAGGGCATGAGAGTGAGACCGTCATTTGCTACTTTTCTTGGCGTCTGATTTTTTCTTAGTGGCCGCTATTATATCATAAAGCAGTTAAAACAGCTTTTGTGGCTTTTGCCTCTGGAGTAATGTTTAGGAGGAACTCCTTATGTCAAGATCATAGAAGTATTTACAGTGACTTTATTCTAATGCTGCATGACTTCATTAGCTATAGATATTCGAGTCTTCCTCCCTCTGGCACCCAGTGTGTGAGTATTCTGATGTGTAGTTCGGGGCTGTCGACCTGTTGCTGGCACCCACCGTCCCCGCATGGACCTGACTGCTCTTCATTCTCTCATAAAGGTTTATTGTATTTGAAAGGCAGAGTGACGGAGAGGGAGAAGGAGATCTTCCCTCTGCTGATTCGCTTCTCAGATGCCTGCCATAGCCAGATCCTCACCGGGCTGAAGCCAGGAGCCAGGAGCTCCATGCAGGGATCCGAGCTCCTGGGCCTTCATCCACTGCCTTCCCCGTGCCCTGGCAGCGAGCTGGGTGCGAAACCAGAGGAGCCGGCACCCAAACCAGCCCTGGGGTGTGGGAGGCGCCTGCCGCAGCGCCCACCCCTGCCCGCCCGCCGTCCTGTTCCCTTTGGGGCAGTTGGCAGCTGTAGAACCGTACCTGGTTGGTGTCTCTCACCTGGCTTTCTTTACTGGTAACAACTCAAGTCCGCATTTCACCCAGAGCCCCTAAAGTGTCCCCTGGAGTCCCTGGGTCTCACCAGGCTACGCCAGGACTCTGAGCTGTGGGGGCTCCTGGGCTCCCCTTGGCTGCGACAGGTTTCTAGATGACTCCTGTTTGGTGACCTTGAGGGTTTTTTTTTTTTTTTTTTACTTTTTATTTTAGGGACTGGTGTGTGGCACAGTGGGTTAAACCACTGCCTGTGATGATGACATCCCATACGGGCATCAGTTCAAATCCTGGCTGCTCCACTTCCCATCCAGCTCCCTGCTAATGCGTCTGGGAAAGCATCGGAGGATGGCCAAGAGCTTGCGCCCCTGCACCCACGTGGGAGACCCAGATGAAGCTCCCGGCTCCCGGCTTCAGCCTGGCCCAGCCCTGGCCACTGCAGCCATTTGGGGATGAACCAGCGGACGGAAGACCCCCTCCCCCTGCTTCTCTCTCTGTCTCTGTTCCTCTCGCCCTGGCCCCTGCTGCGTTATCTTGCCGCTCACCTTGTCCTGGCTGTGGCCACTGCGGGCTCTCTTGGTGGCGCCCCCCATCCCCGTGTCACCCCCGTGGCTCTTCCTGAGCACCTCACGTCACGTCTGCGGTGTCCTGAGCCTGGCCAGGCACAGCGAGTGTGGCTTGGCTTCTGTGGCCCTGGGGTTGGACCTCCCCGAGGGGCGAGTCCTGTCCAGGGAGGTGCCGTGGGCTGGGTGCCAGCCTGCAGCAGCCGCGGGGTGTGCCAGTGCCGGCTCTGAGAGGCGCCATGTTCTAGTCTGCTCGGTTGCCACGGGAAAATGCCACAGACCGGGCGCCTCCCACGGAAATGGCTTCCTCCAGCTCCACACACTGACAGTCCGGGATCAAGGAGCCAGTGCCCGTCCTCACACGGCCTCTTCTCTGTGCACACTTGAGAGAGAGACAGGGAGGGAGAGAGGGAGACACACACACACACACACACACACACACACACAGAGAAGGAGACAGAGAGTCAGGGAGACACACAGAGAGGGAGAGAGAGAAGGGAGGTCAGAGCCCACTGACCAGGCCAAGAGCTACCAGCCGCGAGGAGAGGCGGGGGACAGCCCTGTCCCGAGCCCTGTCGGAGGGGTAGGCCCCGCCCACACCAGCTTGGGCTACAGGGCCCCAGGGCTGGGAGGCAGTGAGCATCTGTCCTGAGCACACG